GCACACGGGCAGCGTGGCCCTGGGGCGGGTTCCCAAGCCTCGCGGGCCCCCCTCAGGCACCGGCCTCCTGCCTCTGCCTCGCTCCGGATTCTCCCTCTGGTTTAGGGATTATTTTCACTTTCCTGATCACATCTAATTGTCACAAGGGGACTGTTCCCACCCTGCACAGAGGACTCGGACCCTTGAGAGATGCGCAGGCTCCGATCACCAGCGCTAAGCGGCAGGTCCTCGTGCCCTGCAAGTGTCACTCCCACCGTGAGGAGACCTACTTCCGCAGGGATGTGGCACTGCTGGAAAGATCGATCAGGGAGCGATTTAAAGTGCAAGGAGCATCTACACGAGCGAGCCGCATGGCGACTCCCTGCTGGGAAGGCCCGAGGAGGTCGCCTGCCTCCCGCTCACCCTCTGGACCCCAGCCTGGTGCCCCGGAGGAGGCAGCCCGGCTGAAAGGCAGTATCTCTAGAGCCGTGTCCCTAAGAGTCAGCCCAGCGTTGCCGTGGACAGAGGGCTAATGCTTAGGGATGCCGCCAGCAGTGTTACTGTTGGCATAAACGGTCCAGGATGCAGCTGCGTCACTGCGAGGGGCAGCAGGAACTAGAGAGACAAGCCCTGTCCCCACAGAGAGGCAGTAGCCACCGTGGCAGCAAAGCAGAGCGCTGAGGCGGCGGGGTTGGGACGGGGAGAGGCTGCTTTGGGTAGGAGGACAGGGAAGGTCTTCCTGCTGAGGATGCATTTAAGGCGAGTGAGGGAGCAGGCGTGAGAGTGTCTGGGGCCAAGTGTCCTCGACAGCAGGACACTGCGGTGGTGCCCCCGGCGGGATGCCCTCTCGCCGCGAGCGGAGCAGCCAAGGTCACTGTGGCCGAGCGGATTGTCAGTGTGTGTTTTGTGATCCAGAATTTCGTTATGAATCATCTACCTTTAAAAAATGACAGATCTGGCGTAACGTTGCAAATGTGATGTTTGTCTTGCCAGAGATTTAGAATTTGAAGATAAAAGATCTTAATAGGATTTTTAAAAAAAAACACACACCTTAAGGTGGTCAAAATAGATAAAAGAGAACAAAGACTCTACCAATATACAAAGCGCCTTTTGTCATTCTTAAAATGATGCAAATTTAATTCCTAAAACCTTGTGTAGAAAAGCAGAGTTACATCAGATGTATTCTTAGACAATTGGATTTGAAACCTTTGACAAATATGCACAACGCAACTTTAACAGAAAATGTAGGAGATACATTCTATTTCAGAGATGATTCTAAATGTGCGAAAATGGAATGTGCACATAGAAAGGGACCAGGGGGAAAAAAGGGAGGGAGAGAGAAAGAAAGAAAGAGAGAGAGAGAGAGAGAGAGAGAGAGAGAGAGAGAGAGAGGAAGAGAGA